GATTACCAAAGCTATTATTCAGAGGGCCGAGGAGGGGTTGTTGAGGTGGTTCGGACACATACAGAGGCAGGAAATATATAGAAAGACATGAAGAGAGTATAAATCTGTAATGAAGGGAAAGCGGTGTATAGGTTGGTCTAGGAAGGGTTGGGGGGAGGGGGCAAAGGAGGTTTTGTGTGCGAAGGGCTTGGACTTCCAGCAAGCATGCGTGAGCGGTTTAGATAGGAACGAAGGGAGACAAATGTTTTTTTAGGGCATTACGTGCTGTTGGAGTGTGAGCAAGGTAATATTTATGAAGCGATTCAGGGAAACCGGCAGGCCGGACTTGAGTTCTGGAGATAGGAAGTACAGTGTCTGCACTCTGAACGACGGGTCTTAATGTTTCAGTTTTATAACTGTAGTGTAAGCGTGCCTATGACAGGACAGTGATCGAGTGAATGATGGAATAATTTTTCTTTTTCGGGAAACTATACCTAGGCAGGAAACGGTAAATGAGTTAATAATAAATAATAATTATTATTAACAGTAAAAATGTTTGATAGTACTAAAAATAGATCCATCCAGCAGTAACAGTGGTTGATAGTGTAAAGTCAGGAGTTGAGAAACAACGCTGCGTCAGGAACAGTTATAAACAGGAAACAATTCTTGGAGTTTGGAGAGTTTAGGAAGAACAGCAAGTGCCTCATGCCAGCAGTAGTAAATGGAACACTGCCAGTACTAGTACATGGAGCACTGCCAGTACTAGTACATGGAGCACTGCCAGTACTAGTACATGGAGCACTGCCAGTACTAGTACATGGAGCACTGCCAGTACTAGTACATGGAACACTGCCAGTACTAGTACATGGAGCACTGCCAGTACTAGTACATGGAGCACTGCCAGTACTAGTACATGGAACACTGCCAGTACTAGTACATGGAACACTGCCAGTACTAGTACATGGAACACTGCCAGTACTAGTACATGGAACACTGCCAGTACTAGTACATGGAACACTGCCAGTACTAGTACATGCAACACTGCCAGTACTAGTACATGGAACACTGCCAGTACTAGTACATGGAACACTGCCAGTACTAGTACATGGAACACTGCCAGTACTAGTACAAATGCCATACACATGCCAGTACTAGTACATGGAACACTGCCAGTACTAGTACATGGAACACTGCCAGTACTAGTACATGCAACACTGCCAGTACTAGTACATGGAACACTGCCAGTACTAGTACATGGAACACTGCCAGTACTAGTACATGGAACACTGCCAGTACTAGTACATGGAACTCTGCCAATATTAGTACATGGAACACTGCCAGTACTAGTACATGGAACACTGCCAGTACTAGTACATGGAACACTGCCAGTACTATACATGGAACACTGCCAGTACTAGTACATGGAACACTGTCAGTACTAGTACATAGAACACTGCCAGTACTAGTACATGGAACTCTATCAGTACTAATACATGGAACACTGCCAGTACTAGCACATGGAACAAAGCCAGTACTAGTACATGGAACACTGCCAGTACTAGTACATGGATCACTGCCAGTACTAGTACATGGAACACTGCCAGTACTAGTACATGGAACACTCCCAGTACTAGTACATGGAACACTGCCAGTACTAGTACATGGAATACTACCAGTACTAGTACATGGAACACTCCCAGTACTAGTACATGGAACACTGCCAGTACTAGTACATGGAACACTGCCCGTACTAGTACATGGAACACTGTCAGAACTAGTACATGGAAAACTGCCAGTACTAGTACATGGAACACTGTCAGTACTAGTACATGGAGCTGTGCCAGTATTAGTACATAGAACACTGTCAGTACTAGTACATGGAACACTGCCAGTACTAGTACATGGAACACTGCCAGTACTAGTACATGGAACACTGTCAGTACTAGTACATGGAGCTGTGCCAGTGCTAGTACATGGAACACTGTCAGTACTAGTACATGGAACACTGTCAGTACTAGTACATGGAACACTGCCCGTACTAGTACATGGAACACTGTCAGTACTAGTACATGGAACACTGTCAATACTAGTACATGGAACACTGCCCGTACTAGTACATGGAACACTGTCAGTACTAGTACATGGAACACTGCCAGTACTAGTACATGGAACACTGCCAGTACTAGTACATGCAACACTGCCAGTACTAGTACATGGAACACTGCCAGTACTAGTACATGGAACACTGCCAGTACTAGTACATGGAACACTGCCAGTACTAGTACATGGAACTCTGCCAATATTAGTACATGGAACACTGCCAGTACTAGTACATGGAACACTGCCAGTACTAGTACATGGAACACTGCCAGTACTAGTACATGGAACACTGCCAGTACTAGTACATGGAACACTGTCAGTACTAGTACATAGAACACTGCCAGTACTAGTACATGGAACTCTATCAGTACTAATACATGGAACACTGCCAGTACTAGCACATGGAACAAAGCCAGTACTAGTACATGGAACACTGCCAGTACTAGTACATGGATCACTGCCAGTACTAGTACATGGAACACTGCCAGTACTAGTACATGGAACACTCCCAGTACTAGTACATGGAACACTGCCAGTACTAGTACATGGAATACTACCAGTACTAGTACATGGAACACTCCCAGTACTAGTACATGGAACACTGCCAGTACTAGTACATGGAACACTGCCCGTACTAGTACATGGAACACTGTCAGAACTAGTACATGGAAAACTGCCAGTACTAGTACATGGAACACTGTCAGTACTAGTACATGGAGCTGTGCCAGTATTAGTACATAGAACACTGTCAGTACTAGTACATGGAACACTGCCAGTACTAGTACATGGAACACTGCCAGTACTAGTACATGGAACACTGTCAGTACTAGTACATGGAGCTGTGCCAGTGCTAGTACATGGAACACTGTCAGTACTAGTACATGGAACACTGTCAGTACTAGTACATGGAACACTGCCCGTACTAGTACATGGAACACTGTCAGTACTAGTACATGGAACACTGCCAGTACTAGTACATGGAACACTGCCAGTACTAGTACATGGAACACTGTCAGTACTAGTACATGGAGCTGTGCCAGTGCTAGTACATGGAACACTGTCAGTACTAGTACATGGAACACTGTCAGTACTAGTACATGGAACACTGCCCGTACTAGTACATGGAACACTGTCAGTACTAGTACATGGAGCTGTGCCCGTACTAGTACATGGAACACTGTCAGTACTAGTACATGGAACACTGCCAGTACTAGTACATGGAACACTGCCAGTACTAGTACATGGAACACTGTCAGTACTAGTACATGGAGCTGTGCCAGTGCTAGTACATGGAACACTGTCAGTACTAGTACATGGAACACTGTCAGTACTAGTACATGGAACACTGCCCGTACTAGTACATGGAACACTGTCAGTACTAGTACATGGAACACTGCCAGAACTAGTACATGGAACACTGCCAGTACTAGTACATGGAACACTGTCAGTACTAGTACATGGAACACTGCCAGTACTAGTATATTGAACACTGCCAGCACTAGTACATGGAACACTGTCAGTACTAGTACATGGAGCTGTGCCAGTACTAGTACATGGAACACTGACAGTACTAGTACATGGAACACTGCCAGTACTAGTACATGGAACACTGCCAGTACTAGTACATGGATCACTGCCAGTACTAGTACATGGAACACTGCCAGTACTAGTACATGGAACACTGCCAGTACTAGTACATGGAACACTGCCAGTACTAGTACATGGAACACTGCCAGTACTAGTACATGGAACACTGCCAGTACTAGTACATGGAACACTGCCAGTACTAGTACATGGAACACTGCCAGTACTAGTACATGGAATACTGCCAGTACTAGTACATGGAACACTGCCAGTACTAGTACATGGAACACTGCCAGTACTAGTACATGGAACACTGCCAGTACTAGTACATGGAACACTGTCAGTACTAGTACATGGAACACTGCCAGTACTAGTACATGGAACACTGTCATTACTAGTACATGGAACACTGTCAGTACTAGTACATGGAACACTGCCAGTACTAGTAGATGAGTAACAAAAAACGTTGGTCGGAAATAAGTAAAGTCATACTGACAAAACTGTCAGATATTTGGACGATAACAAATTATTGATGACACAGTGTAGCTGATGAGACATGATGATTTAAGTATGAACGACCACCAGGAGGAAAACATTTTCTGAATCATCAAGGAGGATACAGCAAGCGGACACATGAAGTTGGACACAACGAAGCGGACACAACAAGGCGAACACTGTTCCAGTGATGGGACTCAGGAAAAAGGGGTCACAATCGGTAAGTGAAGACTCAGGTGAGTCACAGGGATTTTAGGAAGCATTTCTTTAGTCATAGAGATATAGGAAGTGGAACAATCTGGAAAGTGACGTAGTGGAGGCAGGATTCTTGCATAGTTTTAGGAAGAGGTATGACAAAGCTCATGGAGCTGGGACAGAGCGGAACTAGTGGCGATCAGTGAAGAGACGGCGTCAGGATGTATGATTCGACCCCTGTAACTACAATTAGGTGAATTAGGTGAGTACAGCAACGAGGACACAGTGAGGCAGACACAACGTTCAGAAATGTTCTTTACAAAGACTCAACACTTCTAAGACGGTAATCAAAACTAAGAATACTGCTTATAATGGATAACTAAAGTATACTAAACACTTGTTTATGCTCAGTAATAACCCGCATAGAGACAGAAACTCAGAAGATTAATTGGTCTATGTATTTCGACCCCCTTGTGGGATTCTCTTCATGTGGGCTAGTACTGAGAAGTGTTCACAATGTTGCTGAACTCTGACTGTGAACAGGAAACGGAACAGCACTTAAATTGTAGGAGGGTCTTCAAAGTTATCCAGTTACCAAGTCAGAAACCCTATGAAGAACAGTGGAGGTAGAGTGCACGAGTGCCTACCTTGAGGGTGAACTCTAGCAGTTAGGTGTGCCAGTGAGTGGGGGCGAGTGTTTTCCAACACCTCCACAAGATACTCCGGCTTGTCGAACTCGACGGGTCCGCGTCCCACCAGCTTAGTCACTGAAACACAACAAACAAAATAAGCTGAAACATGACACGACAATAACGATCTGAATGTCTGGTGAGAGAATAACAATATGGAAGTGGCAAGCGAGTGCACTTATGAACCTCGTGATAAATGAGACACTTGTGCAATATTTCGGTATATTTATTCTGGAAATGTTTCACTACAGAGTGGCTTCTCCAGTCCAATGCAGAAAAAGTGAAAGATGAGGAGGAGTTTGAGGTAATCAGTCCCTCAGCCTGGAGTCGATGTGTGGACAAAACCACTAGTGGAAGTAGTTTGTGTCTATTGGTTAGACAAGTTTTGAAGAAATCCCTGGATCAGGATCCCTGGATGCTAGTACCTGTGTGGAGAATTTCTTGTGTGAGCTCTTTACTATCTTAATTAGAGCTATCTCTATCACCTAGTATCCACCACTCTCCCGACAGACTGTAATTGACATGATTATTTCCTCCACACTGTAGTGTCAAACCAGGTATACTGGATACAGGCTACTTACCAGGTCCATTACCAAGCAGAATAATCCAGCACACTGAGTCACTGAGTGGAGCATAGTCTAACATGTGGGCGCTACAACGATGTATGGCAAATAATACTTTGACCAGTCAGGGACTGGCTGCCACTAAGCTCTGTGTCAACACCACTGAACTTCAGTTAATTAAGCACTGACCTACCTTACATATTATGGATTGCAATCAACTTATGAACAAGGTAGGGAGAAATGGACTCGTGTGGCCTCGGGTCTTCCTCTGCCTGGGAACTTAGTGTGTGACACTTGAGACTTCGACACATGACAAACATTAACTTCTGTCCAGCTAAATGATGAACGATCGTTGATTCTGAATGTCACCAAATTATTGTAATTGACACTCACCCAACCGAAGTGCCAGCACTATCCACGAGATCACTCCACTTTCCTGAGCCTGGGCTCCAGTTATGGTCCACAAGTTCACTATATCACTTCAATGAGTCTTGATACTGTCTCTCACCCGTTCATGAACAGACGTTACAGATCACGTCAAATCAGAGGTCAGGGAATTATCAGTCCGGCCTCCCGGGGAGCTCTCATACAGGACACAAATAGCAGTATTTGTCCTACATGGTGTCTGATTCGATACCGTCCACCGGCAGTTCAAACTCGGCCGACTCCAAGTGCTTACTAGCACTGCTCTGCCTTGGACTCTGTTGCTAATACTGGCAATACGGACAACGAAAATTGTCCCGTGGTTCGCTTGGGCGCGCACTCGCCTCACATACTGAATGTCCGTGGTTCGAACCCAGGCATAGGTGGTAACGTTGGGCATGTTTCTTTACACCTGCTGCCCCTGTTCACCTAACAGAAAATAGGTACCTGGGCGTTAGTTGTGGGTGGCATCCCGGGGGGGTGCATACCTTAGAAAGTCCTGGAGTTTTGAGGCATTACCCCTCTGAACAGCAGCACTGAGTCGCTGGAACAAAAAACTAGCTGCTCTGGGATCCCTAGTTACCCTGATGAGTCTTTTGCCCAGGTCCTTAAGGAACTTAGATGCACTCTTTTCCCATGAGCCAAGGGTCTCTGAGCCTATGGGAACAAGCATATAATGATGGGCAAGTTCTCCATATTTTGTAGACTTTTGGGACTCCCTGAAACTGGCAGCTGCCCCTCCTTCCTCCCTGGTGTACTGGAGATAGGTATCAGCCAAGGTAGATGCACATGAGTAGTCCCACACCACCTGCTTACCATCTGTCCAGGCTTGAAGGGTGATATCATCTGGACGCTTCTGGCTGCCATCAGATCTGAATAGTTGGGGTGGCTTCCTTACTGCTGGGCATCAGGCTGCTGTGAGGCTCCTCTTGCTAATGTTATTAACCTCCTCATGTCTTGCAATCTTTCCCTCGGATTTACGGCACACAAGACCATGGTACCCGAATCAGTCTGCTGCCTCACTGCCACAAATACACCTGTGTTCGGCGAGAATAGGGGCTGCAAGTCGAAGGGCAACACCAGTGCGGATGGTCTGTGGGTCGAGGCGTGTGCCAAGGCTGGAGTTGGGAACAGCCAACAGAAAGTCCCCTGCATGAGGAGTTCTCACTGCCAGGAGGCGGGCTCTATCCTTCCCTGACACACTCTGAAGCATTGTTTTAGGCTATATTTTCCACTATTGGACCATCCCAGTGTGACTGTTTGTAGTTGTTGGGGGGAGCAGGTCTGGTTTCAGAGCCCGTTAGATTATCCCAGATCATGGCTCCGTCAATGAACTTTTGGTCCTGGACTCCAATCTTGTCCCTAAGATGTTCAGGGAGAATCGCTGCTACAAGCCCTCAGGATGCAATACATGAGGACAGAAAAGTAGGTAGCGCAATCTGTGATGACTTGCGGACACCAATGCCTCCTAGTCTGACTGGAAGTGTAGCTTGGTTCCACTGCCCGTCTTCTAGAGTAATGTTAAGTACTTTTGAAAAAATCAGCCTCAGGATACTGTCATATTCGTGCAGTATAGGGTTATCATATGAAGGTGCACATCTTAGGAAATATGTCAACCTGGGCAGACTCAAGCACTTTGTGAGAAAGTATAAGGCTTATATATGTATATATGTATATATATATATATATATATATATATATATATATATATATATATATATATATATATATATGCAATAAGATCACAGTAAACAGGTGATTTCAGAATATGCAAAACAACCACTCTGAAAGAATAGAGAAATTCCAAGCGCTTTCGTGACTACTCACATTATCAAGGAACTATGAAAGTAAAGCATCCAAGGAAGCTATATAAGGGGTCTGGCCAACACCTCACTATCAGATCCCACAACGGTTAAACACCTGACGCGCGCCGGCCCAACTGGACAGGTCCTTTGCACAACTCACCAACAAACTATTCTACCCAAGAAAATTTAAAAATTATTATTTGTCCAGTGTATTATTAAATTCTTCCCAAATTCTATTAATTATAAATGGATCTAATTTATATAAACCAAAGGAAATATTCATATTATTGTCAAAACTGCTTTTTATGAAACAAGATTCAATTACATTCCTGTCGACCATGGACTTGCTTGATA